AAATGGCACCTGTCACCTAAAAAATTTGGAGAATCACCTTGGCTCCTGCTGTACCTAAAACCTGTTATGTTTGAAAAAGAGGCCCCACGTTGGGCGCCAATTGTAGATTTTCGCCGGGCGACATTCGAATTCCGCACCACGCGGTCCCGAACCGCGTCCGCATACGAATATCCACCCGAGCCTTCGCTTCGGCGGAGTCTTTCCTGGCCGGGATCCGCCACTCTACAATAGACCCTCTCAGGGTCTGAAAACACGGGCCGGGCGGAAGTTTGTTCGCGCCCTGCTTGTTGACTAGAGACGCCGACCTCGTCAACTATCAACAAGTCTTCTTCAACATCCATTATTTTAGGTAAAATAATTAAGTCGAGCCAAATATCAAGTGTACACTTCTTTTATTCAATAAAAGAAATAAAATAACAAACAAAATAATACAAATCAAACCTCTGTCCTTATTAAAACAAAACGATAAGTCCAAAATTAATCTATTAATAATACAACTGTCAAGCAAGAGACCAAAACCTAAAATTAAGATAACAAACGACCAGCCTCCCAATATCTTAACTCGCGGCCTTTTATATGTTTTTACCGCCCTATCTACATAATGCTTTCTATATCATAGAAAATTCTATACTCCTATCTATACTCTCTTCCTATACTCAGAAAAGCGATACAGCACAGCAGCGTCGCTTATATAGCATATCAAATAACAAAATATACATGCATAGAATGACTAGTAAAATATATAGATATGTATAGGCGGCACGCCTCAAAGACGCAATCATTATCATCACAATTTCACAAAATATACAGGCGGCATATTTCAATCGCGCAATCATTATCATCACCATACAGGCGGCATATCTCAATCGCGCAATCATTATCATCCCAATCGTCACAACTTCACATATATATATATATATATATATATATATCTTTATGCATAAGTATATGTGTATCTATGATTTTTTTTTTTTTTATAGAAATTAATTTTATTTTATTTTCAACTAGAGTGATTGCTAAACGCCTGGCAAAACATGTCAACAATCTAGATATCTTTCCAGAGGGTCAGTGTGGATTTAGAGCTGGACGCAGCACAACCGATATGGTGTTCGCTGCGAGGCAACTGCAAGAAAAATGTCGCGAGCAGCAACGGGGACTGTATATGGTTTTTGTTTACCTGACCAAAGCATTTGATTCGGTTGATAGGTCAGCACTCTGGCGCTGCTTGTCAAAAAAATGGTTGCCACTCTGTTTTGTTGCCGTTGTTCGTTCCTTCCATGAAGGTATGAAAGGGAGTGTGGTTGAAAATGGTGAACGGTCACAGGATTTTGATGTTACAAACGGAACCAAGCAAGGATGCGTTATGGCTTGATTGCTGTTCAACATCTACTTTTCATTGATGCTCCGAGTTGCTTTTCGTCACGGTAGTGAGGAGATACCAATCTGTTATCGTATGGATGGGGATGTTTTTAATATTAGATGATTTCAAGCCAAGTCCAAGACACCTATTTTTTGCTGATAATTGTTCACTGGTTGCACACACACAGGCCGAGATTCAGACGCTGTTCAACCGCTTTTATATAACAGCTAAGAGATTTGGACTTACAGTCAGTCTGAAGAAAACTGAGGCCTTGCATCAGAGCTACCCAGTTTCGTTGGGGGCAATGGCCTATGTGATGGCGGACGACTCGCGTCTCAATTCTGTTGATAGATTTTGTTATCTAGGCGGATATATCTCCAATAATGCAACTATCGATGATGATATTGCAGCAAGGCTTGCAAAAGCAGGTGCTGCTTTTGGTATGCTGACCGGACGTTTTTGGAAAGAGCACAGAATTACTCTGGCCACCAAAATTGCGGTATACAGAGCAGTTGTGCTTCCTTCACTGCTTTATGGTTGCGAAACCTAGACGTTCTACCGTCTCCACATTCGTAGGCTCGACCAGTTTCATATGAGATGTTTGCGCATGATTGCAGGTATCCGGTGGGAAGACAAGGTCCCAAACACAGTGGTTTTGGCAAAGTGCGGTATAATGGGTGTGGAATCGCTGCTGCTTCAAGCTCAGTTTCGTTGGATAGGGCACGTTATGCGTATGCCAGATACAAGAATCCCCAAGCAGGTCTTTTTTGGTCAGCTAGCGTCGGAAAATAGACTGGCAAGTGGCCCTGTACGCAGATACAAAGACAGTCTTAAAGAAAATATGAAAAATTGTTGTCTAGACCCCAAGGCTCTTTGTGTTGATGCTCTGCGACGCTCGGAATGGAGACGGCCCAAAGCGGCGATAGAACGGGTGTATGGATTTGTGATACTTGTGCACGGAAATGTTCGTCAAGAATAGGACTTTTTGCTCATTCTAGGACTTACCAATGGCCCAATTCGTCGATTCGACGATGTACTCCATATATATATATGTTTATGCATATGTATATGTGTATCTATGATTTGTTTTTTTTATAGAAATTAATTTTATTTTTTTTTAACTATGTGTAAGGTGGCTATACTTGATAGGTTACTTGTTAACTTTTTATGGTCATCCTGTCTTCTTTTTTCCTTTGTTTTGGAGACAAATAAATTGTATCGTAACGTATATATATTTTTTGTTCTTTATCTTTTTCAGTTTGGTTAATACTATTGTGGTTTAATTCAGACTAGTTATTTTATTTCGATCATATTATTTTCTGTTCAATCAATCAATCAATCAATTAGCTTATAAAGCGCTATTTCCGCGATGTTCAACAGCGCTCTTCAATGAATTTTGAAAACAGATGGGTCTTGAGATCCGCTCTGAACTTTGCAAGTGATGAAGAAGTAGTCAGAGAAGTAGGTAGAGAGTTCCAAAGAAAAGGACCAGAAAAAGCAAAAGCAGATTTGGCAAAAGAGTGTTTAACACGAGTTAAAAAAAAGCGAAAAGAAGAAGACAATCGTAAACCGGGGCGTTTAGGTTTAATTAATATATCTGATAAATACTTAGGAAATAATTTAGATTGAGACTTATACATGAACGTGCAAATTTTAAAAATTATTCTATATTTGATAGGTAGCCAGTGCAAGAGAACAAGATATGGAGATATATGAGAAAAGAAAGGGAAACGAGCAACTAGACGAGCAGCAGAGTTAAAAGCTTTACTTAAAGAATAGAGTATAGAGTCAGGAAGACCATAGTAGAGCGAGTTACAATAATCAATTCTAGATAAGACTAACGAAGAAACAAGAAGGAAAAGAGTAGGATCATAAAGAAAAGGCAAAAGTTTTTTATTCTACGTAGATGAAAGTAAGAGCTTCTAGCAACACTATTAATCTGAGAAGAGAGAGACATAGTAGAATCAAAGATAAAACCTAGACTACGAAACTTATGAGAGACATCAAGAGTTTTAGAATCAGGTAAGATAATAGGAGGAATAGTAATAGAGTGTTTAGATTTATTAAAACAAATTAATTCAAACTTAGAAGGATTAAGTTTAAGACACATAGAGTCAGACCAAGCGATAATTGAAGAAAGACATAGAGATAAATTATGAAGAACACTATTGAGATTAGATGGAGGAAAAGAAGTATAAATGTAAGAATCATCTGCATATATATAGTTAACTAGAGAAAGAAAAGTTATTAATAATACGAGGTAGTTCAGAAGTATAGAGTATAAAAAGAAGAGGGCCAAGGATAGAACCCTGAGGTACCCCGAAAGTAAGAGTAGAGGAGTTAGAAGTAGAATTATTGAGAACAACAGAAGAAAAACGATTACAGAGATAAGAAAAAAACCAAGATAGACAAGAATCAGTAATATTAAAAGAAAGATGCAGCAGTCTGTTATTGAAAGTTGGTTATATTTTGGTTATGATATTGTTGAGGGCATCGGAACTATAGTTCGCGCCTTTTTTTGAACTATTATGTATGTTATGTTATGTTGATTAATGCCAACAATTCGGTAGAATTTATACAATACTGTATAAAATATGGTCTCCTTCCAATATATATATATATATATATATATATATATATATATATATATTGTATTTTATTTTATTTTTATTAACAAATATTTTATCAAAATTATTGCAAATAGATCTATTTTAACGTTAAACGTCGTCGTCAGGTATTATTATAGTTTTAATATTATTAAAAATATATACAAATAAATTCGAAAATAGAAACATGTAATAATGAAAAATTTTAACAACAATAAATTTTTAGAGGATTTTTAAAATTTTTGGAGGATTATTGGATAATGAACACTAACAAATCGGTGGAATTTATTACATATTGTCAAGAATTCGGTCTTCTACCAGCATATATATATGTATATGTATTTATATATGTATATAATATTTATAAACATTTGCATTGTAAGAAGCTGATTTTATGATAATTGGCGTTAGTCGCTTAACGTTTGTTAGCATATGTGCTGCTAGCGTATTTTCTGCTAAGAAATAATTATCATATGGGCTTTAAAGGGTCATTAGCATATCACGTATATGTTTCATTAAGCTATCAGAACCCACCTTTAATACACCACCTCTTGCTTCCATACATACTCATAGACAAAAAATAAAGTAGTTTGAATTCATAATATTTCAAACGTCAAATTTTTTTTCCCCCAAGAAGGATTTTAATAGATTTTTTTTACATAATAATAACAGTTTATACTAGCAAATTTTGGTAAAATTTAGCTGTTAACAAAAATGTTCAGGTTTACCATTTTATTGCAAATTTTTACTGGACTTAATTTCTACTATTTTCTTTATTTCCGATCTTTTCGTGCATAATTTGTAGGTCAAGTTTTTCGTTGCAACAGGATCTTTCTCGTGTTTAACAACGTGATTTGTGTTTAAACGAGGTGAGATTTTTTTTTTGTTGGTTGAAAAAAATGTTTTCTAATGCAAAATAGACTTTTGCTAGGATTATCGGTTAGTTTTTAAAATGTTTTGAAACGCTGTATAATGTGTCTAACCTACTCTACTAATTAATAACAATGGTATTCATTAAAAAAAAGTTTTTAGATGTCTCAAATATTTTAATCATTCTAAGACTAACATAATTCGGGCAAACCCGGAGATCACAAAGTGGTTTTTCCAGCAATATTTATTTGTTGTCAACAAACAGCTTAAAAAGACACATAAGCTCATCCAACGGTGCAACTGATATTTGAACTAAATAGTTATTAATAATACTAATAGAGAGCTTCTTGTTCATTGCCTAAAGACCGTACAGTGTACATAACTGACATTATACTTATGGATATATGGCATATTAATTGTTTCCTGTCCAATAATTTTACTTAGTTCTATGGAATTAAAAACGGGTAAACTCAAACATTGTTTTGTTTGTAGTAATTGACATTTTAATGATTTTTTATGATCAAATGTCTTACTATAGACAAATTTTTTAATTATATGTCAATAAATTGACAAAAAAGTAACTAGAACGATAATGCTAAAAACTGATTGTTTACTTTAATTTAAATTCAATTTTCAACAAATATTTGTTAGATTGACCTTGATTTTAAATATACATGAACAATGTATATATATATAATGCGTCTGCTGTATCCATATTATATATATCCATGATTATACTCGCAAACGGATGGCTTAAATGTATTAAAATTTGTTGCTTGTGATGTGTTCATTCTCTTAATTAACGATGAAAAAATCATACTGAATTAACTCAACATGCATGGGCATAAATGCTAGAATTATTTTTTTGTTGATTCAATCAATCATCGTTTAGCATCCAGAGACCCAGTTCTCCCGAGGTAGGACATTGTTCTCTTTGCCATCAATTTTTTGTGCCAAATTGGGCAATCAGTTGTATCCATTTCATTTAAATTTAGAGCTTTCATGTCTTGCTCGATTGTTTGCTACCAGGACTTCTTAGGACGACCTTTGGGACGTGTGCCAGGTACTTCAACATCTGCATGACAAGTTGTTATGGCACTGTTTCTACTTCGTTTGACATGACCAAACCACCGCCGGCATTCGTTCTTTATATCATCTAAACCAGCACGACGCAGGATTTTGGTAGATTTGATGTGGTCCTTCAGACTAATTCGTTGCATCCATTGGACCATTTTCATGTCGGTTCGTTGAAGTTGTTGTTCCAGTTTAGTTGTCATTGGCCATGTTTCTGCACCATATAACAACACCGGACGTATCACAGATTTATAAAGTCTTGATCGTAGTGGTAGTAGTGGTAGTGGGATGTCACACTGCATCAATATAGAGGTGTTCATTGCTTTGGTTTTGCTGATGTTAACTTTGAATCCATGTTTGGCGAGTCTGGTGTTCCAATCTTCAAACATCTGTGCTGCATTCTGTTCAGACGTGGCTGTTAAAACAATATCATCAGCTTATATTAGATTCCAAATGTCACCAGCGCGTATCGGCTTTGTGATTTCTTCCATCACAGTTATAAATAACAGTGGACTGAGAATTGAGCCTTGGTGAACTCCAATGCCGATGTCAAATGCATCTGTGTTTCCAACCGTTTCTCTCAAGGTGGGGTTTCGAACCCGTTGCTGTTTCTCATTTATATTAACGAAATTTTTATTTAAATGTGAGACATTCTGCTTTTTGCTGATGATTCAGAAATCTACAGATTATTGATGAGTAAAGAGGATAAAAACTAAAAAAATTATTGGATTGGTTTAATAAATGTAAATTTAATCTAATCATAGATATATGTCAGCTATTGAAAATATACTCCAATTAACCGTGTCCACCCTACACCATTTTTCATTTAGGAAAGTAATGGATTTCTATTTTATCTGCAGATGGTTGAAAAAGTATCAGATCTTGGAGCCATCGTAGATGATAGATTGAAGTTCATAAGCCATGTTTTGAAGGTAGTTAACAAAGCAAATTGTATGCTAAGTGTCATTGCCAGGAATTTTAAATACCATTCACATGAAGCATTTGTAACTTCATACAAGTCGTTAGTGAGGTCGCACAAGGAAAAGGGCATCCAGTTATTGAATCCATACGGAGTTGGCTTAATAGCAGGGCATCGAACCGTAAATTTTTTCGTTTCGGTTTACAGTTTCGGTTCAATCAGCAAATCGAATTTCGGTTCGGTTACGGTTTTTGTTCCTGAAATAATATCGTTTTTTTTTGGTTTTCGGTTTCGCTCCGGAACCTATTTTTTTCAAGCATAATTCCTTAAACGCATATAACGAACATACGAACATCCAACTATCGCCACAATGCCAATTTGAATTATATTTTAGATTGTGAATGATAAGAAATCAATAACAAAAATGATTTTTAAATGTTGTCAGTATAAAAAGAAACGTTTCTAATATTTTTTTCAACAAATTAAAACAATCATTACAAAGATGTTTTGAAATCACAAATATAAATATAAGATTGTTTCAAAAAAGATGAAAATTTCTTCTGATTTTTAATATATTTTCTAAAATGTTTTCATTAAAACCACTTCTTCAGTCTCTGAGGATAAATTTTAATCCATAAACAGATGCTTCCAGGCTCACTTGTGTAGCTGGTACTTCTAAATTTTGAAGATCTCAATTGATCTCTAATTTCTCCGATTATACTGGATTTCTCTTCACGTGGCAAACCGTACTCAAATTATCGGCAAACTAAGTCGTTAAAAAAACGAAAAGAGAGATAACAAATTTTCAAAGATAATGAAAATTAACATAGAATTTTAAAAGACGAAATATTATCTAAATATTATTTTTCTGAATTTGACAAAAATATTTTCTTTTAAATTTTTAGCATCGAACCGTTATTAATTTCGTTACGGTTTTCGGTTTTAGTTAAACTAGCAAACAATATTTCGGTTCGGTGACTGTTTTGTTCCGAAAAAAATTTCGGTTTTTAACCTTTTCGGTTACGGTTTAGTTCCGGTTCGATGCCCTAGTATGAAGAAGTACAAAGAAGAGCAACTCGTGTAATAGCATCTCTCTTGTTTACAGACGTTGAAAAACCGACCTTATTCTGTTATAAAGAATAATCCATGGTCAAGTCTCTGCTGATGTTGGCCCTACGTTATTGTTTTCACACTTCAGGCTAACTACATATTCTAGCCATAAAGATTGCCGTAAATTTTGAACAAATTGCCTTTGGCCGCTGTTAATACCATTTCCCTGCCTTAGCGGCTTCAAGTCAGCAATTGATAATGACTCCAAATTCAGCTGACAAACTAATTTATAGCTTGTACTTGTTTATTTTTGCTTGTTCTGTTGAAACCATTTCGCTTCTTTTAAATTAAAATTACATTCGTTAGGCTTAGTTTATTAAGAGGCACTTAACAATTTATTTATATCGTTTTGGTTTTTGCGGACATATTAGTATATGTGTTCTTATTTATATTTGAGTACATTTCTGAAGACACTGTTGTTAAATTTAAGTAAATATACTTTAAATTTCATTCAGTTTTTGGTTTTTCGGTATATGTTTTGTTTGGCGAGGAGCTATGCCTGGGCTACTTGAAATAATAATTATTAAATTATGATTGTTTGTATAAATTATAACCTTATATTACTTTTTTTTATTACTCCAAGATTCATTTTTGAAAAAAAATCTACAAGGTTCAAAGTAAAATTAAAAACCTGTATGATGAACATGAAAAAAAGAGACAAAAAAGTAATAAAATCATCTTCTAATTTGATGCAGACCAATAAATCAGATACAATTGCAAGTTGCTCAGATATAGTATTGTGGAAAAGCCCTCTTGTAACTCTTTACTATTTTGTGAAAGAGTCACATAGATTTGCATTGAAGTGTTGGTCCCAGTTAGTAACAACATGCTTATTGTTTTATAAAATACTCATAAATTTTTCAATATGAATTATTTCAGTAAAAATTCTTTTCTTTATATGTTTTGATTGAACCACCTTTTTCGCTGCTATTGCTTTTACAATTTATAATTGACCTATTTTTTAACATTTTTATCTTAATGAATCGTTCTTTTGCTTGTTATTTAGGCTCGTAGCTTTGAAACAACACTTACTTTTTTTGTTGATTCTCATGGTTCTTGGTTTGTTTTTGAACATCACTAATGGCTCTCATCAGAAGGTGAGCTGCGTACATGTAATTCAAAAGTGATATTAAGTTAAATTTAATTGATATATCTATAAATTTTTGATGACGTTTTTTTAAAAATGTTCAAATACATATAATTTTCAATGTTTCTTTCTTAATATCATTGTAGTCATCATTGCTTTATGTATTTGATTTAATTTATTATTGTCATTCATTGTGTTGTTGGTTAATAGTATTTTGGTTTTTCTCTTGTTGGAGACATTAGAACGCGCTGTTATGTTATGTTATGTAAGTTTATGTTATGTTATGTTACCTTATGACGTGACCTATTTAAGATCCATTACAGGCAAATGGATGCTTCCGATTCAATTCATCAATGATTTTAGGTATACAAACTTCGCTGAATACTTGTTTTCTTCATCCACACTTGTCCAGTGATAGATAATTACAATTAATTTTGCTTACTCTCCTGATTTAATTACTAGCTGAACAAATTGTTTCTGGATCAAAAGGTTTGCAGATTCGGTTCCGATTGCAGACATAATGCCAGTGAAAGGTTTTTAGAACTTTCAAAGAGTTGCATCTGTTTGCAATTTGAATATGGTGCTGGATAATAAATGATGTCTGCCATTTGGATGAAGTGTTGTGTCGCCATGTTACGTGAATTCTTTGATTAAATAATTACTGAATGATCTGTTGAAGGGAAAAGTTTCTGAATGAATTGTTGAATAAAGAGTTTTTGAATGAATTGTAGAATGAAGAATTTCTGAATAAATAAATAAATAAATAAATGAACATCCCCTAGATATTGAAACGATGTGACTTTCTCTATTTTGTCGTTTTTGATACATGAGGCACCAACTATGTCTTTTTTCGTACGCTTTGCTCGTTTTGCTATACGATACAGAGATTTCATTTGTTCACTTTTGCTTTTAGTGAGCCACTCTCTGCACTGATATGTCCGTGCCAGTGCAATTTGACGTCTTGCATAGTTGTTCTTCTCATGGAAAATTTTATGGTCATCTACAGACTTTGATTTTTGCCATTGCTTGTATGCAACTTTCTTTTCAGCTATTGCATTTTGTACACTGTCATTCCACCACCAAGTGTCACGTTCATGCTGACGTTTTGTACCAGTTTTCCCACAAACTGTAGTTGCAGCGTTCATTAAAACGGTTTTGTATGTACTCCAATCTGTACTGGCTTGCGATTGGTGGTCTAACTGTGTTGCGACAATCTGTTGAAATTTTTCTCGATGAATATTGCTTTTCAGCTTCCACGTTATGATTCTCCGAGGCATTTGTTAGACTTATGTTTTGACAGTTCGACAACCAGGTCTGCCACAAGGAGTCTATTATGGGCGACACATGATTCGCCAAGTATAATTTTGACGTTTTTGAACAGCCTTCGGTGTGGTTGCTTGACAGCGAAGAAATCAATTGGCAGCAGATGTCAATCCTTCTACGCTCGAGCATTTCTGCGATTTCCATGCTGCGGCCAGTCAGTGATCCAACATTGAGCGTTCCAAGTCTAAGTGCCATAGAGGGGCCATTCTGAATTTTTCTGCAACATCCGCTATTGCATACTTCCCAGGGATTCTTGACACTCCTTGACCACTTAAGGCCTGCTGGGGACTAGGGGCCGTTGTTTTTCTTTGTGATGGCATAGGAATAATTTGGGGAAAAGTTTTTACATCCGGACACCCATCCTGACGACAACCACCAGTTATAAGCAGTGGGCCTAGCCTTTCACTCAAAAGCACGCAAGGCAGCGTGGATGCAGTTTTGTCATACCCAGGACAAATTGTCGAATGAATGAATGAATTAATTAATTTTCCGAAAATAAAAATAAGTTTAAAAATAAGTTTCCGAATAAATTGTTCAATAAAGAATATCTTGATAAGTTGTTGTCTGGATGAGGTGTCGGTTAATATATGTCCAATGTCTGAATGATATATTGAATGGTGACATATATCTGCTATTTCCTATCTAAATGAGGTTTTGAATAAAGAGTGTCTGGGTGAGATTTGACCGAAAAGTTTGGATGAGGTGATGAGTGATGAATATCTGTAGCTATTTGTACAACTTACTTAAAATGATCGACTTTATTAAAGAAAAAATATGAAAAGAGTTGTAAAATGAGATTGTTTTGGTGAAGTTCATTGTTTTTCCCCTACCAGTTCCATCACTTTTTCTGACCCACCTGTTTAACCACTCTGTAAGAGCCACAACCACAGTCATGTATCTTCCTATTACGTATGTTTGAAAAATTCTTTGGTAAAAAATAATAGTAATTACATGCTCAATACGCACAACAACAGTCTTTTCTCAGTGGCTTTCAATAACTTTCATGGGTTGTTCCAGAAGACGTATATCCAGATATGAAGAGCATTTCAGTTGGTCTTCTTTTCCTTTATATTTCGGCACAGTTGTGCTACTGTTCCATTCTACTGGTAGTATCGATTTACTCCACATCAGAAACCTTTCTCACCAGATGCCTTGATGATATCATTTGTAAGTCCAGATGGATCAGCCGCTTTACCTCCCTTTATTGCCTTTAGCGCATCCGTTTGTTGTGATTCCCTGAATCATTTCTTCCACCGGAAGTGCATCAAAGTCTACCCCAATAGAGTTTGTTTCATTCAATAACTGATCGAAGTAATCCTTCCAGTGATCTTTCACTTCATTCTGCATGGTTATTATGGTGCCTTTATTATTCTTTATGCATGTGGCACCAACTATATCCGATAAAAATGTCGATAAAGTTTCATTAGGTAAAAATTGTATGCCAGAGTTTGTCCAAATTTTTGTTTGGTTAACATGTACAATTATGCGCCTAACTGCATTTTTACTGATTACCATTTGAAAGATTTTAAGCTAAGTTAACATTTAATAACTATTCATATCAATTTAGATGTCAGTAAGCATCAAGTTACACTAACATTTAACAGATTTTTTGTTTTTGATATACATTTATGATTTATTGGTCAACCTTACATCTAGAAATTAAATATAATTGACGTTTGTTTACCTTTTATAGATTATCTTTTCAATAAGACATCACTTCGACACAAAACGTTTTTTAATTTAAAATCAGTTTATAGACATCCTTGTCACTAAGCATCAAGTTACACTAACATTTTACAGATTTTTTGTTTTTGATATACATATATGATTTATTGGTCATCCTTACATCTAGAAATTAAATATAATTGACGTTTGTTTACCTTTTATAGATTATCTTTTCAATAAGACACAATACACAAAACGTTTTTTAATTTAAAATCAGTTAATAGACATCCTTAAGAAAAATACATCAAGGTTTTCCTATTGGATTGGTCTGGGAATATTATCTTCAGTAGGATTGGGCACAGGACTACATACTTTTTTATTATATTTAGTAAGTAAACAACGATATATTCTTACTTATATTTCAAAATTGAATATCACAAATAACATTCAGGGTCCTCACATAGCTGAAGTTACATTAGCTGCATACGAATGCCAAACTGTTGATTTTCTAGAACCTCCTTATCCGGATGAGTTAGAATAAATATATTAATAAATTTATAAATTATACCTAGTCCTGAAATGAATTGTGTGCAAAATATTCGATTATCTTGGAATGCAGTGGCATCATTTGTCTAAGTTATTGCAGTTATGGGCAGTTTGTTTTTTCTGCTTTTTTTGTTTTTACGCATGATATTCTTTATACATGGTAAACACAGATTGTAGTTTAGTGGTGATGCAAAAATTTGGTTTAAAGTTTTAAAGCATTAATCAAAATTGACTGTTAATGTAACAATGATAATTAAAAAATAAAATATTACAATTTCATTTAGCCCTGTACCTTGGAATAGATTTGAAAACTCATAGCTCAGCTTTAAATTTATTTCCGAATTTTAATCTTAATGTTTTCGAAATTTTTATTTGTAAAATGCGTGGCTTTTTAAAAAGTGGTATTTAATATACAAAATCATTCATAATTGTATAAATTTTATAAATCTACAAACAAAACTTAAAAAATTATGATCACTGGCATAATTAGAAACAACGACCTGGAATTAAACATAACAACAGCCTAGAACTCTGTGACGATGTTTTATTCTAGTTTATTATCAACGGCCATTTAAGTTAAAGCGTAATAACACTAACAATTACATTACAGCATTATTTGTCCGGAGGAAGAAGGGTTGGGTGTGTCTGTTTGGTCAATAATGAGCAAACTACGCTGGGCCTGTTGTATGTGGGTCAGTTCTCATGAATATTTTTAACAGTTATCAACAAGAATTTTTCAATTAGCTATTACATTTTATGACGTCATTTGTTAAATGGCAGAAAGCGATGACAGTCAAAACTAAGAATTTTCATTTTCTAATGTTTTGCTGCAAATTGTGGTTAATTTTAGGGGGTTGGCACTGCAATTGGTGAATTGCCACCGTATTTTATGGCTAGAGCATCTCGACTTTCAGGCCTGATAGACGACGAAGAAGCAGAAGTTGAGGCTATTTTAGCTGGAAAAAAGGGATCTAAAATCGTTAGAAATCATCACTCATTTTGTAAAATTGTTAGAATTCATTACTCATTTGGTGCTATTCACGACATCTTTTAAAATATTTTTTGCACATTTTTACTCTGAAAATTCTCTATTGTTTCGCATGTTTGATATTTATATTGTTTTTACAGTCGCCGGTTGATAGAAGTAAAGTTTTTATACATAACTTAATTCACAAAGTTGGTTTCTTGGGTATATTATTGTGTGCATCCGTAAGTTACCTGTTTCATTTTATCTTTCATTGGGTTCTATAGCATGTCAGTTGAACAATCTACAAAATTCATTCAAGATTCCTAATCCTCTTTTTGATCTGGCCGGCATTACTTGTGGTCATTTTTTGGTTCCATTTTGGACTTTTTTTGGAGCTACCTTAATTGGCAAAGCCATAATAAAAATGCATATCCAGGTAAATATTTAAGTTTTAAAATATTTGTATTCGGTAAGAACTGATACCAAAATTTAATTTATGTGTTCATGATGAAAGTTATTGGAAATTGCAATAAATGTTGTATTTTATGCTCAAATTTCAAAGCTACGTAGAATTTTATAAATTAAATTGCAATAATTGTCTGAAATGTTAAGCTAAGGCTTTATTAGAACTCTAAATGTGAGTATTTATTCTATATATCTTGTCATGTTAAGTTATTTAAATTTTTATTTTGATGAACTAAATTATTACTATGTTATTAAACAATTTTTTATTATAATTTTGAAAAGTTGAGAAATTCAAATGCTTTTATAGTGCTTTCATTCATATCATGAAGGTTGTAATTTTCTTAGAATAGAGAAGATGTTTCATTTTTAGATTTTGCTTTCTAAGTAGGGGATTTCCTTTGATAAATCCAAAAGTGCAGCATAATTATGCTAACCTGGTTGTGCTACTACCATAATAAACTTTTATAAAAAAAAACTTATTGAGCTGTGGAGTTTACAATTACAAGTTATGAAGAAATTTGAAATTATATGGCAATAGTTCAAAAGTTATTACTTTTTTATTCATACAAGCTTTACTTCAATCAATATAGAGAAGACATGTTAGAGTGTGTGATCATGCGAAAAGGTCATGGCTCCAGCACTAAAATCTTTGGAGTAACAATCTAAGACAATCACAATACTTTGTCTAAAAGATTATGCAAAACTTTTCTGTTTTATAAGTAAAATTAAAAATAAATTAAATAAACCTGCAATAATTGATTTGTATTATTCTTTAATTTTTACTTACCTCATCTACTGCAGTCCTGACATTCATCTAAAACAGTTAACAAAATGCCAAAACCGATTTATAAGAATATTAAAAAATTTTCATCCTCGCAGTCACACAAGTGAATATTATCTCGAGATGAAAATTATCAATATCAAAAACTTGTACGTAGCAATATTTATTTTAAAATTTCTAACAATTACCGGCATTTTTTAGAGACTTTTTACTTTTGGAACTTCCATTCAAGCAAGAACTAATCGCCACACGCCACTTTTCTATGCTCCACATGCCAGAATTAAATTACTCTGCATGAGTTTGAAACACACCGGCCCAGGAATATGGCAAACAATTTCACAAGAAATTAAGGATTGCAGCTCTTTGTACCTTAAAAAAAAGGAAAAATATTTAATTATGAAAAGTTTTGTCTTTATTATGAATATAAACTATTCTGCAATGGTCAAAAGACGGCCAAAAATGGTGTTGGAATTTTTGTCAAAGAACCGCTAGCCCAAGAAGTGCTGGATATTAAAAGGATTAACTCACTTCTCATGTGGATCAAGATTCGCGTAGAAAAGCAAACGAACTATTTTTTCTGCATACGCACCACAGACAGGTGAATCAGAAGAGATGAAAAATGACTTCAGGGCTGCGTTCTCTGACACCATCTAAACAATACCAAAATCTGAAACAATCCTGATTGGAGGCGATCTCAATGGCCACGTTGGAGAGAAAACAGATGGTTTTGACAAGTGCAGGGCGGTTTTGGCTATGGAGAACAGAATGAAGATGACAACCGCATCCTTGAGTTTGCTGAAAGTCACTAGTTTTATTTACTGAACACATATTTTAGAAAAAGGTAGGAAAATCTCATAACATACAAAAGTGGACGTTCAGCCAAGCAAACTGATTTCTTCACTGTCAAGCAACAGCACCGAAGGCTGTTCAAAAATGTCTAAGTTATAGCTGGCGAATCGTGTGTCGCTCAACATAGACTCCTTGTGGCAGACCTGGTAGTCAAACGGACAAAACAAAAGTCTAAACAAATGCCTCGGAAAATCAAAACGTGGAAGCTGAAAAGCATACAAAACCGTTTTGATAAACGCTGCAACTACAATTTGTGGGAAAACAGGTACAAAACGCCAGCGTGAACGTGTCACTTGGTGGTGGAATGACACTGTACAAAATGCAATAGCTGAAAAGAAAGCTGCATACAAGCAATGGCAAAAATCAAAGTCTGTTGATGAACACAAAATTTTCCGTGAGATGAACAACTATGCAAGACGTCAAGTCACACTGGCTCGGACAGCTCAGCGCAGAGAGTGGCTCACTAAAAGCAAAGGTAAACAAATGAAATCTCTGTATCGTATAGCAAAACAAGCAAAGCGTACGAAAAAAAACATAGTTGGTGCCTCATGTATCAAAAACGACAAAAATGAGATGGTTTTTGAACAAGATAAGATCACGCTACAGTGGAGAGAATATTTCAACCGTCTGTTAAATGAAACAAATCCCATCCAAGTCAACTTTGACGCTCCACCCATCGAAGGTCCGATTCCAGACATCACTGTAGAGAAGCTTACAGAAGCTCTGAAAGCTATGAAGGATGGAAAGGCAGCAGGGCCCTCTGGACTCACAAATGACATTATCAAAGCAGTGCAGGTATTCAAACGTTACTACAACTTTGCCGTGAAGTGTGGAGAAATTTCTCAATGCCGACTGAATGGAACTGTAGCATGACAGTTCCGCTATACAAAGGCAAAGGTGATCCATTGAACTGTTCATTATATCGTGATATACGTCTGTTAGAACATTCCCTGAAAAATGTCGAGAAAATCATTGAGAGAAGATTAACGTCGTGGATCACAATCGGAAATTATAAATTTGGTTTTCTAGCGGGGAAATCAACAATTGATGCAATTAACATCATTCGGCAACTGCAAGAGAAGTACTTCGCAAAGCATCGACAACTATCACACATTTTTATAGACATTGAAAAAGCATTTTATCGAGTTCCCCGTGAAGCAATGAAGTGGAGTTTACGTCGACAACTCATTCCAGAATATCTTCTTCGACTTATGATGGAAATGTATACGAATACTAAGACTCTCGTCAGAACAACGGTTGGGAACACAGATGCATTTGGCATCGGCGTTGGAGTTCACCAAGGCTCGATTCTCAGTCCACTGTTATTTATAACTGTGATGGAAGAAATCATAAAACCGATACGCACTGGTGACATTTGGAATCTAATATATGCTGATGATATCGTTTTAACAGCCACGTCTGAGCAGAATGCAGCACAGATGTTTGAAGATTGGAACACCAGACTCGCCGATCATGGATTCAAAGTCAACATCAGCAAAACCAAAGCATTGAACACTGGTGAACCCATCCAATCCACAGCTACTGGACGATGGCCCTGTTCAGTTTGTAAAGCTGGTGTATGTAACAATTCAATCAAGTGTCAGCAGTGTAACCAGTGGTGTCACAAACGTTGTTCAAAAATAATTGGTACTTTATATAAAGTGTTCAATTTTGTTTGTCTTGCTTGCATCAATACACAACAACAAATTCGAAATAGCAATGTTTTTGAAGCCCTTAAGGTAGAGAAAGTCACATCGTTTCAATATCTACGGGATGTTCAGAATTGTGCTGGAACAGCTGAAGCTGCCGTTCGAGCACTTATACGTGCAGCCTGGAATAAATGGCATCTCCTTGCCTCCAAATTGATGCGGCGTGACATCCCACTACCACTACGATCAGAACTTTATAAGTCTGTGATAGGTCCGGTGTTGTTATATGGTGCAGAAACATGGCCAATGACCACCGAACTGGAACAACAACTTCAACGAACCGACATGAAAATGCTCCGATGGATTCAACGAATTAGTCTTAGGACCACATCAAATCTACCGAAATTCTGCGTCGTGCTGGTTTAGATGATATAAAGGACGAATGACGGCAACACCGTCTGCGGTGGTTTGGTCATGTCAAATGAAGTGGAAACAGTGCCATAACTTCTCTTGCAGATGTTGAAGTACCTGGCACGTCTCAAAGGTCGTCCAAAGAAGTCCTGGTCGCAAACAATCGAACAAGACATGAAAGCTCTAAATTTAAATGAAATGGATACAACTGATCGTCTAATTTGGCACAAAAAGTTGATGGCAAAGAAAATAACGTCCTACCTCGGGAAACCGGGTCTCTGGACGCAAAACGAAGATTGATTGGTTGATTGAAAAGTTCTGTCTTTAAAGGATAATAATTTAATTTCATTTAACATTGATATATTTTTCTTCTGTTAACAATTTTAATTTAGTCTAATTCCAGTTTATTCTCGTGATATTATCAGAACATTGAAAAGCTATTTTAAGTTACACGGTAGCCAAGCCTACAAGAAATAATTTTTTATATTTGGTCTCCGAATCATTCATACTTTTTGTTTTGTTTAATTAAATAAAAATGATTTGATTTGGTATTTGAAGCTCTTTTTTTTACGGCTGTAAAGGATTCTGATATATTTTCAGGTTGGTGCAAAAATATTGTCGGTTTTCTACCATCCATTTTAAAATGCAATAAATTTGCTTTCATTTGAGATATTTAATCAAAATAAGAACCATCACAATCTATGCACGTTTGCCAACGAGAAATTAATTCATTGTTGCCTGTAGCATAAAAATCAGGGGTTCTAGAGGCGACAAACTGTAAGAAGGCATTTTTCGTAGCTTCTTCGGTTTTGAAGCACTTTTCACGCAAAAAGTTGTTGAAGTGTTTGAAAAAGTGGAAATCTGTTGGTGAGAGGTCTGGTGAGTATGGTGGGTGAGAGAGTATCTTGTAACCCAACGCGTTCAGTTTTTTAGCGTTAGTTGGGTGACGTGTGGCCTGGCGTTATCGTGGAGAAGGATCGGATCCTTTCTGTTAACCAATGCAGGACGTAGTTGGCGTAATTTCTGTTGGCAGTACATCTCTCCATTAATCGTTTGACCAGGTTTTAAAAAGCTATGGTGAATCAATCCAGCTGTAGACTACCAAACTGTCACCATTAACTTTCTTTGGTACAATTTTGGTTTGGGAAAGTGTTTTGGACATTCATCATGGTCCGACCGCTGAGCTGAACGTCGTCTGTTATCATATAGGATCCATTTTTCATCACACGTCACATTCCGGTCAAGAAACGGATCGTTTTTATTACGCAGAACAATTGAAGCTGACACCTCAAAACGCCGAATTTTTTATTTTCGTTCAACTCATGTGGAACCCACTTGTCAAGTTTTTTGACTTTACCAATCTGTTTCAAATGACAAACTACTGTTGTGTGATCAACCTAGAGTTTATTGGCAACTTCTCGAGTAGTTTTAGCTGGGTTTGCGTCAATAATTTCTTTCAGTTTGTCATCATCAATCCCGGATGGTAGCCCGCGACCATCTTCATCTTGGAGGCTCATGTCACTAGTACGAAATTTTTTAAACCATCTTTGTGTGGTACGCTCAGAAGCACCGACGTCGCCCCTTGCTTCCGCAATATTACGAGTTGCTTCTGCCGCATTATGCCCAAGTTTAAACTCATGAAGTAAATTATTCCAAAAATCACGCTTAGACAACATTCTCAAATATCGCTCAAAATCAAAAACACTGAATAGTTGGACCAATTAATTAATAAAGGCTAGATAGAAGAATAAATAACTTACAAAATGATATATAATGATCAATATATTCAATAAATTGTATTTAAAAATTTAGTGATGAAAAATTTATTAACATAAAACCGACATTATATTTGCACCAACCTAATAATTATAATGTTTATGTTTAAAAAGGTTTCTTTTTTCTTTTCAGAAACTTTTTGTGATTATTGCTTTCAGTGAAAAACACGTGGACCAAGTAGTAAATCTTGTAGAGTTAGTATATTTCGTTTAGACTGTTTATATATGCTGGAACTTTGTACTTTGATCAATATTTTTTGCCTAATTCTTTTTTATTTTTCTTTGTTAGTTTTTAATTTTTTAAGAATCTTTTTTATATCAAACTATATTTGTTTTATGATGTTAAATTTTTCAGCTCAATCTAACGTCATCACTGTACGACAATAAAGCGTCAGATTAAAAATGCCGTCACAGCATTTAATAATAACCGTATTTATATATCGCTTTGGAATCAACTTTTTTTATGAAAACGCATACACTTGCTTACGTTCGAAAACAATGTGCCATGTATGTCAAACCCAGCACTGTAACACAAGAGATGCACCTTTTTCCACTGCACCACTACCACCAAATTCAAGTATATGTATATATATATATTTTGGTAATAGACCATAATTTTTACAATATTTTATAGATTCTACCGAATGTTTGGCGTTAATATGTTTGTAGTTTGTTTGTAAACGAACTACAAACATATTAACAAACATTCGGTAGAATTTATTGAATATTTATATATATATATATATATATATATATATATATATATATATATATATATATATATATATATATATGG